AAAGCGTGGGCGTGGTCGGCTGGACCGAGGTGGAGCGCTCTGTTCCCCGGTAGCAACAGGAGCTCTGATGCATCTTGGCTCTCAACCTTGCCCTGGTGGCAGAGATGGAACTGAGCGAAGGGGGACGTCCAATGAGACTCTCAGAGACCCTGGCGCCCAGGCCTGAAAGCTAGAGAATCCGAATACGGCGGGAGAAGGCGTCATGGGAAAGGCTTGGCTGGGTAGGGGTCGCAGTGCCTCCCTAGGAGACCGGTATTCTTGTATTGCAGCCAGGTCTCTGAAGCTCTACTGGAAACTCCAAATGCCGAAATACACCCAGCCAATATGCTAAGGGATTAGCAACATGCTTAATTTTAATGGAGCTTAATATACTGGCAGTTAGCTTGCTGAAATAAAGAGAGGTACGCCCCCCCCTCCCCAGAGCATAGTCCTTCGGGTGTCCAGTTCATTACGTGGTCACTCCAAGTAAGAGTTCCATAGATGGCACCACTCACAGCTCTCGGTAGGGTTGGCACCGTGTGTCAACGTGTGTCATGCCCGATAATCTTTGTTGAATGGAGAAAAGGTGGAGAGGAAAGAGAGCGAGAACTTCTATTAAAGCAGAGAAACTACATGAAGAAACTGTCTAGAGTGAGCTTAGACACAAGATGGAGGTGCATAAGGCATGTGGAATGTTTTCTCACTCTCCAGTTCATCCCTCTGAGCATCAAAAAAGAAAAAGAAGTGTGGGAAGGCTGATCATTCTGATCTTTGGCCTGGTCAGAATTAATGGAGCAGCTCTGAACCCCTAGAATTACCTTAATACTTTCCCCTTCCAACAACTGAAGCCCAATTTCTGGGAGTGTAGCCAAGGAAGATGGTTTTTTTAACAAGTTTTTTAATTTATTCTGGAAGTCAAAGTTTGAGAACAACTGTTCTAATGGATTGACCTTAGCAGGGCAAATTGTGAGAAAGAGAATACAGGCTATTTTAAAGGTGGCAGGTGGGTGATTTTTACCTTCCTAAGACAGGAGATCCTGTGCCAGTCCAGATACCTGGGTGCACAGAGGTCTCTGTAGACCACCTCCAGCATCCATGCTGAATAATAGAAACTCTAAGCATTCATACAGTTCTAGAATACACTATGCTTTGAAAAATGAGAGCACGCTACATTTTATTTTAACTAAATGTCTTCTTATCTTTTTTTAAATTATTCATTTTATTCTACTTATTCTTTTAGAGAGAGATTTTTTGCTATAGGGTGTGTGCACTGGCTGGAGAGACAGAAACAGAGAGATGGAAAGTGAGAAATCACCCAGTGGGGGTGCATGGCAATGCCACAATCCCTTCTCCTCCATTCTCCTCTTGGGATTTTGGGCATTCATACACACACACCTGGCATGAGTTTTAAGCTGCCAGGTATGGAATTTGAACCAGGTTAGCTACCTAGGAGTCTAGCAACGTAACCATTATGCCATCTGCTGGTCCCTATTATTATTTTTTAATTTGCTATAGGGCACATGCTCTCACCATAGAGGGACAACAGAGCCAGTTTCAGGACTCAAACTGTGGTTGGCCATATTGGAATCAGCACCTTAACTGCTGGGCCACCTGCTGGCCCCCCTTTATCTTTTTATAAAATTAATTTTTTTATAATGTAAGGTTAGAGGATTGGCCATTTGTCATCAAATTACTTGTAACATAGAAAATGGTGATACAACCTAATGATCTAAACATGACAATGGACTTTAAAATTATGGTAAAAATGTGCACTGGAATAATATTCAGTTGCTGCTATATTTATGAAGACAAATATTGATACAGAAATATGTTCAGAATATCAAAATGAGTGAAAACAGGCTTGGAAACATTGTGAACCTGAGTGCATGTGTGTGTGTGCGTGTGTGTGTGTGTGTGTGTGTGTGTGCAGGTATATGTAAGCAAACCTAGGCATTTTTATTTCCTTTCCTTTGATTATTGTGGTTGTTGTCTTTCTCCCAGCCATGAAAATGTTGCTTTGGGAATAAAAATATTATAGTCAATTTAAAAACAATAAAACTCAGAGTTGTCAGACTCCCCTAGGTTATGTATATTTTTTAGAAGTTTAAGTTCATTGTACATGAAGAGTTGTAGTTTAGATAGGTGGTTGATCATTTGTCAAAGACTATTAGGGTGAGCGTTGACTCACTGCATAGTTGAGTATGGTATTAATATGTACCCAGAGTTAAGAGAGAGAAACTTAGTCATTGCTCCTTTTTTCTTTTCCCTCTTTTGCAGTATGTGTATATATATACTAATAGTTCTTCAACTAGAAGTTTTTGTTTGTTTAAATTTAGCCTTAGACAAGAATCCTCTCATTCAAGGAAGAGAAGCATTCCAGTTGACTACATCTGGCTTACAGCTATCAGGACACGACAGGTGTGTTTGTTCTTTACTGCTGCCCAGCAGATTATCCCAGGCTTTTGTAGCTCATACTGACATACACCTATACCCCAGGAATCATTTTTCTGTAGGCTGGGACTTCAAGCAGCCTCCTTTAGGTCTTTTGCTCAAGGTCTCTCCCAGGCTACAACAAGATGCCAGACAGATCTGAAGCATCCTCTGAAAATTTAAGAGGTTGGAGCTGTCCCTGCTTCATTGTCACATGTTGGCAGGATTCAGTTCCTTATAGGCTGTTGGACTAAAGGCCTCAGTTCTTCAATGGCATGAGCTCCAGGCTACCCTCTGCCCTTGCCAGGTGGCCACCTCATCAGAACAAGCAGGTGACAAGGGCTGCTGCGTCCACTTTCTTCAGTTGATGGTCAGCCATGAATGCCAAGAAGCCAAGGCTAAGGGGAGATATTTGGGGGCTGTCTAGTAAAGGAGAAGCAGAAGGTGGTAAGTGAGTAATGCCCTGCACACTTCCCACACACTTGGGAGCCACTTGTCCTGAAAGAGTTCTTAGAGTCCTAAAAGAAGTTTATAGGGTGGCTGGACATCACCTGGAGAACATGGCGAGATTCACCTCGCTAGATGCATCTCACAGAGCTGGGATGTCCTCCCCTCCCACAACCATCTCTGCCTATGGGGTAGATTCATATCTCAGCTCCTTAGGGACTAGGCTGAGCTTGGATCTCATGTACCCAGTACCCTTTTCCCCTCCATCCTTCTAGCTGCTCAGGCTCAAACCCTGGGCCTTCTCAACCCCAGATAGCAAATCCATCAGAAAATCCTACAGCCTGCTCTGAGTCACTCTTCCTCACATTTCTGGTACCAGATCCCCTATCCTGGATCTGGCATTCTTGCCTCCACTTCCACCTCTGAGCCACACATATCCTCAGCATGGGAGCCACCGTGAGTTTTATTGAGACATGTTACAGGTCCTATCTGCACTTTACTGAGAACTCTCTGATGAGCCATTCACTCAGAGGTAAAGCCCATTGCTAGAAGGGTACACAGTGCTCCAGTTCCCAGCCACCAGCCTAGCTGCAGTCTAATCCCAGAGGTTCTTGGCCATTCCTTGGGGTCCCCCAAGGGCCTCAGCACTACCCTGGACCCAAGCTCTCTACCTTATTCACCTTCCTTAGGTCTCTAATTGAAGGTCATCTTTATTTATTTATTTATTTATTTTTGAGAGGTTTTTGCTATAGGGCATGTGCACTCACCAGACAGAGAGAGACATAGAGACAGAAAGCAAGAAATCACCCCCTAGGGGGGATGGTCACACCGCAATCCCTTCTCCTCCATTCTCCTCTCGGGATCTTGGGCACGCATGCACACGCGCCCGGCGTGAGTTCTAAGCCACCGGGTCCAGGATGCGAACCACAGTCGACTACATGGGAGTCCAGTGACATAGCCATTACACTAATTGCTGGTTTCCGAAGGTCATCTTTACAGTAAGGCCTTCTCAGGCCATCCTTTTAGAAATTGAAGACTTCACCCACACTTCTTCTCCTTTCTACTGTTTTCTGAGGGATCAATAGTGTCTCATAGATGTCACCTTCTCACTTTATGTCTTGGCAGGTCCTTTACTGGACTCTGCATGCCTCAAGTACAGAGATCATTGTTTACTCACTGCTGCAGTCCAAGGGCTCCCAACAGAGCATTTAGGGAGCACTCCCTGATTATTAAAATGAATGAATGAAGAGATGAATGAGTGGCTCCCTCACAGAAGAAGACAGAGGCCCATTCTCTCCTCTGACTGCATGGTAGACTAGACTCTTGCTGAGGAAAGAGCTTGTGGGCCCAGCTGGCTATACTCAGGGTACTTACGTTCCATTAATTCCCCATCGTCACACATTCTAAAGCAATCAAATCTTACCAGAGTGGCCTTTAATGAATTATTAGAAATTTTTTTCAGTGCTTAATATACTCAGGGCAATTTCCTACTTCCCTTTTACCTATTTTTTTTTTTTTGAGAGGTTTTTTGCTATAGGGCGCGTGCGCTCGCCAGACAGACAGAGACAGATGGAGAGACAAAAAGCGAGAAATCACCCCTCAGG